AAATCAATAATTAGGTCATGTTTCTTTTTTAAAGAATTGCAGGCATGACTGAAAGGCGAGTACCAGCAAGCTAAACGCTTACCCAAATCGCGATTGCCCATAGAATCGTTCCTGCTGTAGTAGCCGGACTTACACCTATCTAAAAAAGAAAGAAAGTCTGCTTAATGAAGAGTGTTGTCTGCTCTACGATCTACTTACAAAGGTGCACCTAAATGTAATTGAAACATGGGGGTACACTGTTTGGAGCAAAAGTGACAGTGGAGTGTACAGCGGAGCAATAAACTTCCGGATAGTAAGCGACATGCCTTTCTTTGAACACACAGTTCAAAGTAATAGTGAGGAACACAGAAATTTTTTGAAGGGTTAAAGCCTTGCCTTAGATTCTATTTCCCTTATGTATAAAACAAGTACGAAAACTATATTCTACTGCACCCACCGTCTTCTTTTTCATAAAAAAATTTAAATAGATTCACAATACTATATGGGTGTGGCCAATTTTTCCCATTTTAAGGCAGGTGTAGTAGGGTAAACATATCTGTCGTTGTACAACGGAGGTATTTTCGGGTCATGTTATACTATAGAAATGGCCTATGACCGATTTGGCCCATTTTCAATTCCAATCTGCATGCAAACGTTTGCAATGTTCAGACGGACGAACAGACAATGCTAGATCGACTCTGAATTCGATATTGATTGGGAATTTGTATACTTTCTAAAGTCTGACATTTCTTTTTGGACGTTGCAAACGTTTGGAAAAAATAATAAAATTCGTTGGTTGTCTTAAATCATATACAAACAGTAACCAAAAAGAAATATCGGCCTTAGTAATAATAAACGAAGGTGTTGGTTAAAAGCAGATAAGAATGAATAAGAATGAATAGTTCAATGAATTTTCACTTCCTAACGGATCAACATTTTTTGACTAGCAAGTGATATAAATACATTGACAATTTAACTATAAGTTGTACTATTACCAGAAAATATTTAAAATAATAAGCTTTCTTATATAAATTATCTTCATTTACTATTGTATTGTATTGCTATTGCTGTGAAGAAAAAATGTTTTTTTTTTTTTTTGTGCTTATTTATATAAATATTTGATATTTTTTATATGTACGCACAGCCATAAAAATTGCGTCTCTTTACTCCGTTATTTGGCAAAAGTAGTAATATTGACTTTTATCGACCGCAAAATTTGTTTTCTTTACCTGTGAACGGAATGAGAGAAACTCGAAAGGAGCATCTTTCACTTCGACTTACTGCTTAAAATGTTTAGATAAGCATATCTAAGGGATGATGTTCGGAGTAGGTATGATGGTGTTTGACTTTGGCAAATTTATCTCGGATTAAGTTGGAATTATGGCAGCTGACATGACTTTGTCGAAATATTGCATGATTAAGTTGTTGTTACTCTTAATGCTGTTTATAAATATATATGTCTGTGCGGAGATAAATATATTTAAACTTTAGACTAACACTAAAGTAATATTTTATGATTACTTTTCCCAAGGAATGATATTTTCAATTTTTCCCATATATATGTATATGAGAATGGTATGAATGGCATAAATACGCGTATTCATTAATTTTAGGAAAAATTAATAACGTTACAGTATTTTCATGACAAGCATTATTATTAGCAAATTATAAACACCTTATAAACATTAAATGTATATGCAAAAGACGTGTACAAACGCATATATCTTCGTTTGATTGGTGTGTTTGGATTGTTACCTTTTTCAGAGAAAGCAAAATATCCAACGTTATTATTACTATTCATAAGAGCCCCTTGCTCTTGCCTTTGCTCTTGTCTCTTAGCTATATATTACGATCATGTTTTATATGGTCTGGTATTCAAACTAGAAACGCTATACTATTATAATTTTTTATGTAAAGTAATTTATTTTGAATTATTTTTATGGCACTTTACGTTACATTGGTTAAGCATATTAAAATGGCACTGCGGTATAAGTTTGCTTTTTTATAGGTTAGAAAATTGTCTTTACTTTCTTCTCTTCTACCTTTCTCCTTTTCGTCTCTCTCTGCTTTTCTTTTATATTTTTTTACGAATTGAACAGAAATATTAAATAAGCAAACTGCATGATTTCACTACGAATTTTGTATACCTATCTACCTATCTACCTATTGTCGATAGAATACCGGACGTCGAAATAAATTAATTACGCAATAACTATCTTAAGTGCTAAGATTTGAAGTTTAAGGTTTAGGGTTTCGGGTTTCGGGTTTCAGGTTAAACGTTTGCCGTTTAAGGTTTAAAGTTGAAGACTTGAAACTAAAGGCATCTTTTATGTAAAAGTTGAAAGTCAAAATTCTTATTTATATATACGGATCACAAAGTCATTTCTATTTATTCATATTCCATGTCTGTAGGGCTTGTACTAGTTATTACAAATAGGAAAATTTTATTCCGTTACATACGCGACTTTCATGCCCATCTCCGTTATCCTATAACAGGTTGAAAAAAAGCAAAATTCTTACAGGCTTACGTTTTTGAAGTTTATTTCTTCCTGTTATAAACACATTGAAAAAAAATTAAATTTTGATACACTATAATATTGAGTAGGCGTGATCAATTTTTCCATGCTCATACTACAGCCTCATCCATAGCCAACATACCTTAAAATTTTTATAGATTTATTTGCTATAGTTTTTGAGTAATGACTAAAAAGTAAATGTTTCATTTGTTGTGAAAAGTGGAGATATTTTCAGTTCACGTAGTACTGTAGGCATGTCTTTCGACCGATTTGGCCGACTTCCAACACCAACCTGCGTTGGTGCAAAGACTTGCAAGTTTTTTGCCAAATTTGAATTGAAAAGATTGCTTACAATAGACCTTACAAGGACGGACGAACGGACGGATGTGCTTAAATCGATTCAGAAATTGATGCTGGACAGGAATATATATGCTTCGTGGGGTGTCTGAAGTTTCCTTCTGGGCGTTGCAAACGCCCTCATCCTTCGGTGATAGGTACGAAAATGTTCGAAATTGTCAAGCAAGGCCGGCTTATTAAATAACCAACACAATTTCGCCTAATGCATTGCTTCATTACTAACAATTTTCGTTTGCTTCCTTACTCATTTACTTTTCATAAGTAAACTTACATGATATTCTTAAATACTCTAGATTTATGGAGAAATTTTAAATTTTGAATGAATAGATGTTTTTTGCCAAAGAAAACGTTTCTTTTTACGTACTCTTTAAAGGGAAGGGGACATCAATTTAGTATACCGAAACGGTAATACTCGTCAATTTTTGTCGAAAGATTTTAGAAATTTGCGTCTTTTTTCATATACAACAATCTTTTGAAAATAAGGTGTTGTAAGCGGAGTGGTGGTAAAATTGTTTCGATTCAAACCATTTCAATAGCGTTAGTTCTTGGGCAAAGCGGATCAAAGTCCCAGATATAGATCGGTATTGTAAGAAGTGCATGCTCCTGAATTCCCCTTGGGTTTATAGACATCCGCACAAACTTAATGCACTCTGGACCGTAAAAGAGGTTTAATTATTTATTTAGACATGAAACTCAGTTATAATAGATTAACAGCGGAATTCAATTGACTCTTAGACATAAATCTGATATTAATCATTATTAGAAACTAGTGTAAAGTATATATGGAGAAGTAAAAAACAAAAAAAACAAAAATTAAATAATAATTCATGTATAAATAATAAATAAGAAAAGAAGAAAAAGAGCATGTGCACAACTAGAGTAGAGATACACCCACAACCAATAAGGAAACAAGTTGCAAGTGAACCTCTACCCATGCAACAGCTTAACAATCGATAACAGCAAACAGCAGCAGTTAATTTTCGAATCGTAGAATGGTGATGAGTTTAAATGCGACATAGGCAGATCGCATATAGACTTCAAACATCCCAGTATTGAGATTAAATTATAGACAACATATAGGTTTCTGCAAATAACTTTAAACGGATTGAATAGCTCATAATTATATTTACGTTGACTGTGCTTAATGAAGATAATGTGTCTAGAGAAGCGATTTAGACATTAAAGCTTAACTCACCAAGTAATGCGGGCGAATCGATATTTATTAATTTATTTAAGAAGGAAACACCGAGAATGAATCTACGTTCCTCAAATGATGGTAAGGATAACACAAACAATCTATCTAACAATCAAACTCTTTTCGTAAGGAGGCAGAGAGACAAGCGAGTTCCAACACAAACCCCTAAGGCCAAGCAGCAAAAATTACTTTTACACAGATTCACTTAAATTTACGTGACACTTATAGGAAGAGCACTACACAACAGAGGCATATTCAAGTATTGGTCTAACTAAGCATATGTGCAGCCTTTTTGTAATTTAAGGATCCTTAAGTTCTCTCAAACACCACTTAACGAAACCTAGTTTCACTCAAAGAGAGCGCAATGTGTAAACTAAACCATAATCTTTGGTTGGATATATATCGACGTGCTTTGATTTGAGGACGTTTGAGCCGGATTTTACATAGTATCTACACGAAGGACACCACACAACAGAGGCATATTCGAGTATTGGTTTAACTAAGCACATGTGTAACCTTTTTGAAGCTTAGCGCGGAGCTAGCTTTTCTTAAAGAACGAAAATTATTTTAAAAAAATTCTTTTTTAAATATATATTAGGTATTTTATTATTATTTTAATTGTTGTTGTTATTATAATAATAATCATTATTACTCGTTTTTACAAAGTTATACATTTTATTGATATTATGTTCCAGATGCTTTTAAGATATCCGCGGTGTATACGAACCTTCGCATTTTAATAAGTTTTGTCACAAAGTGCCTGTTTAATCGTAAGATTTTGTCCGCAATTGCGGAATAGAACGAGATTACGGTTAATATAAGAGTAGTGTCGACGGTGGGGCTGGCGACATAATTTTGTTTTTGCTTTTTTTTCTAATTCGTCTTTGAAAGTCATTATTTTCCATCGTGCCGTCCGTATTGTGCTCGCGCACTTCTCCAGATGTCGAATATGCCTCAGCACTTAACAAATATTTACAAGCTTTTTTATCCTCTTATGTTGTAACAGTATTCCTTACTTTGATTTGACGACAAAATATCTGTAACAAAAATTGTTTTTATTTAAGTTTTTCACGATTTTTAAGCTGTAAGAATTGGTTAATACGTACGATTTTAACTAAGAGAGTCCTCGCTGTAGATGGAACTAGGCTAATTTTGTCTCAAAAATTCCTTGAATTGATTGCGGTGTTCTTGCGTTAACCCAGTGTTATGTAAATCGATGTTCATTATTTTTCGATTAAAACCAATTACTTTCATTAAATGTTTGCCAAAGTCCTTAAAGAGAATTGAAGTCTAATTTAAATGAATTTAAAATTTAATTAATATCTAAGAGGTTGGAGGGGGAGGGCGGTATTAAAAGTTGGCTAGTCGTTCAAAGGGCACGCATCAGTGCAATATAAGCTGCGAAAATTTCTGTCTTTAAAAACAAAAATTGCGTTTTTGCGCACTATTCGTAAACTATAATAGAGAAAACGTTAAAAATTTTCATATGCATTGTAGATGTGAATCGGTAGCGCCTATAGAAAAATGCAAACACCTCGCCCGTGCCAATTCAATACTACAGATTGTCGAAATTTCATTCTTTTCGTTTCATTTTTTTTTTTTTAAGATTTCTTAAGAAAATGGGTAGAATCGAATAAAGTTTTCCTATCTGGTTTTCCGCATTTACCTTTCCCAAGACGTTGTTGGATACATCAATGCAGATAAGGCTTTTATTTGTAACAACTAATTGCATGAATGATTTTGTAATGCTGCCCGTTAATAAGCAGCCGGAAATATCGAGATTTTTTATAGGCAAACAGTCCAAGATAGAGAAAATAGTTGTTGCACCGTTACTTCCTATGGGGTTTAGGCGTAATATCAATTCCTCCAATGATAGATCTTTGATGACACCACTCAAAATGTAGGCTCCTTCAGCAGCTGCCAGTGAGAAATGAATTAAAATTATTTTTGCTTAGTTTTTACTCTAAGCAACATTAACAACCCGTTTAACTTACATAACTTATTGTTAGTTAAGTCGAGGCATTTCAAAGTACTAAAGGATTCGCTATGGCAAGCATCTAGAAACTGACGTATGCCTTCGTCACCTAAAGCGCAGTGCGGTAAAGCTAGAGTGTTAAGGTGATGACAACCCTTATCAAGACTGTGAGCGAAGAGGCGCAACTGATGCGGTTCCAGTTTTGTGTTGTGGAAACTTTGTGTTCATATATTAAACAGATGAACATGCAATGATTATTGTATGTTTCTTTTCCTTGTATAAAGATTTTTACCAGAAATACAGTAGCTCATGACAACGGCTCAGACCACGTGCTAATAGTAACGTATCACGTTGTGATAATACGTTGCAGCCTAAATAGAAATTCATGCCTATTGTCTTTGTACAATATGTCAGGCGTAATGTATGCAATTCCGGTAGATTGCTTAAAATGAAATCAAGTGGAATGTGATCTGTAATACTTATGTATAAATTATCACATATTCAACTACTTGTATAAGAAATTTTCACTTCACCATGCTGGCCGTCCATACTGGTTTGTAAATAGTTTATCTCCAGTTGATTTATATACGTCGCACAAATATCCAATGTCGCCTGAACGTTTTCCTGCTCGTAATCAGTTGTTGTTACATTTTCAATAAACTCTTCCAAATGCCTTTCCATGTAAATGTTAATCCAGGGCTTTCTTGTTGCTTTTTTTCCTTTTGTTTCATTTGTATTTGCTTGATGACGATGCTGATGATGATGGGGTTGCTCAGCGTTATTGTTGTATTTCTTGTAATAGAGTGTTTTCCAACGGTGTTGATAGATTTTACGCCAAAAGAACTCATCTTGAATGCGTGAGCTTAAAATCTTTAATGGAAGATTTACATCCAAGTTATTTACAATGTAATTACGATCCTCCTTTCGTGGCACTTCTTCAAGGATAGGGGTTTCTTTAAGTAAACATATATAATATATGTAATAGTCGAATATGGCTTGGGCTTTATCGTTACCATTCCAATTGTTAGCTATAGAATCCAACACCAAATGGCGTAAACTTTTCGGTTGATTTGTAAGGACTTGATATCCTCCAGCATCTTGCCACGACAATCCGTGAATTTGGGGTAGTTTACACTTTTTTAGGTCGACATATGCCTTTAGAACGTTCAAGTCCACCGTGCTCGGGAATTCAACATAACTGAAATCCATGCTCTTTACTATGTCGTTGATCAAACATTTGTCAAACATTTGAAGGGGTGCTCTTCCTCTGTTTTATAAACACAAACAGTGTGGTTGCTATGGACAGTATGAATTTACTTAAAAGCGTTCAAATGTTACCATATTTCTAAACCTATTAAAATAAGTAATCATTTTTAATAGCAAACAATCTTGTCTGCATTATTGACTTGCTTGAAAGCGAAAGACTTTCAGTAGATTTGACTTATCTTGTAAGACCCACACATTTCATAATGTATGTACCCTTGTACCGCCTCTGACCTAATCAGTTGAATACGCTACATTTTCCGTCCGGATATTTGCGCCCGCCACTTTCTACAAATTTTTCAAAGTTCTACACTTTTGTTTAATGTATTATAAATAACCGGGGCCTACTTTTTAACAATCTTTAAAGAACAAAGAACAAAGAACACTTTAATTTCGCTATAGTTTGGATGAAGGTCCTTTTAAACCAATAAATAGTGGATAGCTTCGCTATGTTGATGGTTCCGTCGCATTACATTTAACTTTCTTTGAAATGAGGTTGGGTTTTCTAGAAAATCGTGTGAAAAAATCGCGTAAAAATTATATACGCAACTTATGGTACATTTGGGAACATATTCCACAACTTTGACACGTTCGCGGATAGTAAAAATTTCAGTGAGGTGCAAAGAATGAGACTCAATTTAATTTAAAATTAGTTGTGGCACTCGAAATGTGATGAAAAAAATCTTGCAACGGTAGCCATAACATCCATTATCCAATTTTTTAATTAATTATTATTAATATATTTAAGTTATATAAAATTAAATAAAAATAATTGTCTTTAAAGTTTGAATGCTTTAGCGTGCATATCATTTTGAATCACGCCCCCGAAAAAACTCCAAATATTATCACAGGAATCCGTGCATAAAATATAATTATGAAATCCATATTACATACTTGTAAGACAAGAACAATTCATTTTCATCACAAAAAAAAAAAAAATATATAAAATTAGTGTACAGTGAAAATTCTGTCCACATGTACAATATGCAAAAATTTAAATTGAAATTAGGAATAACAGTCAATTTCTTAACTCTAACCAACACATATCATTAGCGCACGTGCATGTGTAAACCGAGTGACTCTATCCACCGTACTGTATTTTGTTGCCGTATGCATAAGTTTCTGTGAAATATTGTTATAAAATTGGAATTAAAAACAAGTAAGAAAGTTATATGCAGCAGAGGCCGCATCTCCCATACCCAGCGCTATGCTTTTCGCCTACTGCTCTCCAAGTTCTTTCATTTGATACCCACATTACTGGAATTATTAAGAATGCGTCTAGTTTATGGTCCACTGCTGGCGTCCGCTCTGATCAATATGGCCTATTTTCAATAGCAATCTGAGTGCAGATACTTCCAATGTTTCTACCAAATTTGAAGTGGATATTTTCATTTTTGCGACCAGGAAAGTGCGAATAACAAACACCACACAGACTAATAGACGGACAGAATCTCTGAAGCTGCCGTTTGGGTGTTGCATACATTATGAACAAAAACAAGATGAGTGTGCCCCCATCTAACATTGATGGGTATAAAAACAATATTTGCTTTTTTTTATTTATGCTTGAACAAGAGATTGACGTAAAGAATGTATATTTGCTCTAATTGGTGAATCGTGTTATTTCAAAATCGTGTAAAAAAGACCGTGTAAGAAAATAGTAGGGCGTATATTGTTACCTTTTTTTAAATTCTCATTTATCTGAATATTCCGTTTTTAACCCGAATTCGTCGGTTTTCGTAAAGCGCTCTCTTGTTCAGATAATTAAAATTTATTAATCAGGCGGGCCGAAGAAGGAACGTTCAGTTTAACGGTGGATATGAAAAGTTCATGTTAAATTTGAAGTATCTACATATACGGTTTCGAAGAAGTGAATTAATACGTAATGTATCATGATTTCCTCAGGAGGGCCAATGCAGTTTAAAGTTCATTAACACATTTCGATTAATGAATTCTTTGCATTGCAGCCTTCAATAAATCTCAGGTGAGATACATGAAAAGAGTCAGAAAAGCTGTTAAGAGACTCATTGGATTGTTGTATCGATTTTTAATTACGACACTTTTGTGTTTTGCCATTATTTTTTGTTAGATTTTAGCCTTTTTTTAAATTAATCGAAAAACTTTCCTTGACAGTTAACCCTTTCTAACGAAACTGAAAACATTCATAATAAATTATGAAAACTTTAAATATTTCACTTTAGCCCTGACGTAACGGTCTTTGTTGGCGCCGCCTTGACCGTTAAAGACAAATAACCATTACATATAAACAGATTCTTTTTTTTTGTTTCGAGCGCGTTTAACAAACTGACCCGAACCGTTTCAAGCTGAGCTAAGCGTAATGAAAGACACAATAATGATAACAACAACAGCAAGAATAAAGTTACAATTAATTTAACGGCTTTATATTAATTGAGGATTTGTCTGCATAGCCAAATAGAGAGATGTATGGATGAATAGATAAGTGCAAAGAAATGTTAAAGGAATTAATAGAAAAAGTTTGCATGAGTTTAATTTTTGCAAAATCAGCAAAAACTAATTGCAAAGTAAAAGCAAATCACTTCAATAAATCAAAAAGAATTTAATTGTCAATTATTCAAATTAAATATGAAACACTTTTAAGAAAAATTTCATTTCTATTTCTATTTCTATTCCTATTTTTATTGTTATTAATATTTTTTGCTTGGTCTTTCTCGCCGCTTTTCAAGAACTTATTTAACGGCACTATAAATCAAAAATATTGTGTACATGTATGCGCTAAACCATACAAGATTTATGTGGTGCTAAATACGTATAAAACTTTTATCTCATATCATGCGTTGGTATTTTCTTTTTCCCTCTGCTTGATGTTTTGCTCTTGTTTCATGTACTTAGCCTCACTTCAACCTCAACGGTATACAGCTTTAGGTGTTCGCAAATAGGTGTGGGGTTTTAAAAAAATTTTCCGAAAAATATATGCAAAAAGATATTCGTATGTTCAACATTTTAAAAACCTTTTAAACATTTCGAACTCCTACTACTATATACATAATTTTTACTTTTCCAGTTTTTTAAAAGTTATTATATATTTAACCATTAAAGGACAGTATGTTAAGATTGTCATCCCATAGATAACAAATAATCTTCGCAGATCACGTAAGTATAGATAATAATAACAGTCGCTCTTACTGCTAACCAAGGGAAAAACAAGAGATCAACCAAAGGATTATTAAGGTAAGCGTTTAAAATCACATTAGCTCCTTGCCATAGAGATACACTAGCATTTGCTAGGAATGCCTTCGCTCATACTCCTACTTTATGCCTTCTTTAAGGCCGTCTGTAATTATTGATAATGAGGTGAAATGACTAAAATTTACTCCCATTCATCTTTCGCTTTTAACAAAGAGCTTCTCTGGAGCTGTTCCACTGTCTAAATCGCTTCTCTTTTAAGTAGCTTTCTTACGTGTTTTAGTTGATCTCTGTTTTCTTCATCAGTCTCACATATCCTCTGCTTCATTTATG